GAAGAGCGTGGGTGGGTCCCACCCCCTCCCTGATGCTGGGAGGGTGCCTGTGCTCCCCCGCTGGTGTGGGGGCAGCGGGCCTGGAATGCTGCCCTCCTCGTGGCCCTGCCCCCCACTTCCGCCCAGGGCATCTGGCCCACACCTGGCTTCTATTAGGAAAACCGCTGCTGGCGGCCAGGGTTGGTGTGAGGGTTGATGTGAGCCGAGGGGCCAGCTCCGGGGAGAGGCCTTTTGGGAGCTCCTTCTCCTGAGATCCTCCTTCCCCACTAGAGGGGAGCGTTGTTGGGGGGAGGTCAGAGAAGGATGCACTGCTCTCTGTCCAGCCTCTGCCCTCCCTGCTCCAGCTGGGTGGGGAGGCTTGGGGAGTCCCCGCTCTGCTGTCTATTTTGGGCCCCGCCTCTGGGTACCTGAGCTTGGAACAGGGGATGCTTGGGTGGCTCCCTCCTGTATACATCTCCTACTCTGTTTTTAGATTGCATTTATAATCATTTGTTATGTCCCAGGCCCTTGGCGCATATGACCTCCTTCTACTCTCATGACTGTCCTGTGAAGTCTGGTCTTTGGTCATTTCTGCCCCAGGGTCATATAGCCCCTTCACTGTGCCAGAGCCCAGGTAGGGGTGGCTGAGGCCCTGAAGCCATGAGTGTGCCAGGGAAGTAGCAGTCCTCAGCTGAGGTGGTGTCCAGGAATGGTGAGGCTTCAGTACCCTTTTCAGAGACAGGAGGGGGCCTGGGACAAGCCTCTGACCTCTATTGTGGGCAGGCAGACCTGTGCCTTCTGACCACCCCTGTGTGTCAGGCAGGCCTGGGGGCCTAGCATCTGGAGCCCAGTACTGAGCCTGTCTGAGGAAGGGGCGTGGGTGGGTAGTAGGCATCTTACCACTGGAGAAAGTCCCCTCACCCGAGGAGGGAGCCCAGGGCAGCTCCTCCAGCCACCCGGCTCCACACAGGAAGTGTTGCCATGGTGACAGTGAGTAAGGGGAGGGATTTGGCTGCACTGCAGCTGGAATGCTGGGTATGCGCCTGTTCCTGGCGTCCCTGTGCTGGGCAGGCATCGCCTGGCCTCAGCCCCTCTTGTTCTCTTCTTGGGGCCAGGTGTAGGGGAAATGTGGGGAGCCTGAGGGCCTTCTCCACGAGGACACTCTGCTGCCTGTTGGGACAAAGGCCATCCGAGACGGAAACCCCAAGGCTTGGCCTATAGGCTCAGGATTACAACCAGTGGCTTCCCCTGGGGCCTCCTTTGACAGGGCTGGGGCTTGGGGTCACAGGATACCTGGGTCCCAGCTATAGCCTCCCTGCTGCCTCAGGAGAATGAAAATCTGGGGATCTAGAGAGAGAGGGTTTCTTGTCTCTGAGTCCCAATGAGGTGAGTGAAGGAGAATTTGCCATTTTTGAAAATGAACATCACTCCAGTGAGTGGAGAAGGGGCCAGTGGCCACCCCTTCCCCGCCTGTGGGACTTCCTGTGGCCCTTGGACAGACAGAGCCGGTTGTGCTCATGAAGTGGAAACTCTTACCTTGTTTCCACTTCATGGTTTAGAGACCAGAAGATGCAAATGGAAAGCCGCTGAGCAAGCAAAACTCACCAGTCCAGACTGCCTCCCCCGGACCCCCAGCACTACCTGGGCCCAGCAGCCTGGTTACTCTAGTGTGAGCTCATCCAGGGTTTGCCAGAAACCCTAGGGGCCTGCGGAATAGCCAGGATCCTGGGTTTTTCTAGCTGTGGCTCTTGTCTCCCCACCTGTCCTTACCTTAGGTCCCTCTTACACAGATAAAGAACATAACTGTGGGCCCAATTCACAGTGGGCAGGAAGCTCAAATAGCTGATAGCTGTCTCACTGGGTGACTTGGGGCAGATAGTTTCCAGTGTCTGGGCCTCTGGTTTCTCCATGTGTGGAATAGGAAGGTGGGAAATACAGGCTGGGGTACGTTCCATCTCCAACCTGTGCCTCTGAACAAAAAATCCTCTAACTGCCCATGGGCCCTGCAGGCTGAGTATCGCCTCCTCTCCCTCACCCACACTCATCAGCTCTGCTGGGCTCTGTTCTCCCAGGTCCCCCTCCTGGTCTGGCTCATACCTGCCGACCCCTCATGTCTTAAATGTTACCTTAAATCTATTTCCCTCAATTATACTTTTATTGTACCCTGTTATCATGCTTTTAAAAAAATGCACATTATATCAACTAAACAAAAAGACAACCTACTGAGTAAGAGAAGATATTTGCTTATGACACTTCTGATAAGGGGTTAATATCCAAAATTTAAGAGGAACTCATACAACTCAAAACCCCAAAAAACAAACAGTCCAATTAAAAAATGGGCAGAGGACTTGAATAGGCATTTCTTCAAAGAGGACATACAGATGGCCAATAGATGTATGAAAAGATGCTCAACGTCACTAATCAGAGAAATTCAAATTAAAACCACAATGAGATATCACCTCACACCTGACAGAATGGCTATCATCAGTAAATCAAAAAACAAATGTTGGCAAAGATGTCGAGAAAAGAGCACCGTTGATGGGATTGCAAATTGGTGCAGCCACTATGGAAAACAACTTGGAAGTTCCTCAAAATATTAAAAATAGAACTACCTTATGACCCAGCAATTGCACTCTGGTTATTTATCTAGAGAAAACCAAAACACTAATACAAAAAGACCTATGCACCCCTGTGTTCACTACAGCGCTATTTACAATAGCTAAGATATGGAAGCAGCCTGAGTGCCCATCAATAGACAATTGGATAAGAAGAGGTGGTACATATATACCATGGACTATTACTCAGCTGTAAAAAAATAAAGGAAATGTTACCATTTGCAAGGACCTCTGCCCAATGGACCTAGAGGGTATTATGCTGAGTGAAATAAGCCAGAGAAAGATAAATACCATATGATCACACTTATTTGTGAAATTTAAGGAACAAAATAAATGAACAAACAAAATAAAAACAGACTAATAGATACAGAGAACAAAATGGTGATTGTCAGATAGGAGAGAGGTTGAGGGACTGGGTGAAAAAAGTAAAGAGATTAGAGAAGTACACATTGATAGTTACAAAATACTCATGGGGATATGGTACACAGCATAGAGAACATAGTGAATAATGTAGTAACTATAGATAGTGCCAGGTGGATGGATACTAGTTGATCAGGGGGATCACTTCATAAATTATATGAATTAGGTTAATTATGTAATTATATATCATTATGTAAATTAAAACTATGCTGTATACTTGAAACTGATATAATGTTGAATGTCAACTCTAATTGAAAAGTAAAAATTTTTTTAAATGCACATTAGATACATGCCAGACACAACTGTGAGCACTTCACCACTATTAACACTTAACCTTGAAACTGCCCTCCAGAGTAGGTCCCATTATTGTGTTCTCTTTACAGATAAGGAAACTGAGGCACAGAGATGTTGAGTAACTCATCCTGGGCTGAGGCCCTCAGTGGCAGGGCAGGGTTTTCACCCAGGCAATCTGACTCCAAAGCTTGGGCCCTTACCCTCCACTTTACCCCTTTGAGACATAGTTATTTCTGTTTGGTTCACATCTGCCGCCCCACTTATATATTCTATAAGTATGAGGACCTTTTCTGTGTTGCTCACCGATTCCCCAGTGCCTAGCATAGTGTGCAGCTCTAATATTCGTATTATGAAAGAACAAATGAATGAGCATCCCTGCTTCACCTAAGTATGTGACCCTCCATCTGAGATTTGTCTGGCCCTGCTGCCAGCTCCTAGCACAGTGCCTGACCCTTGGAGGCCTCGCATGTCTGTTGAATGAATGAATGAATGCTGCATAGATGTGATTGTGAGCCATCTGGTTTGCAGCTTACACAGGGGGTGTTTGCACACTGATGAGAGGGCAGGAACCCATGTGACACTTCTGACTGACTCTGGGGTGTTGGGGGGTAGGGCTGACCCTCACCCTGACCCCACAGCCCCTTTTGCGTGGAGAGGGATATGGGTCCCTGGTTCTCAGGCTCTAGCCCCGACTTCCTGTGCCGGCTGTGGCTCGGTGGGAAGTGAGCAGTGAGAAAAGCCCCTTGAACAACACGATCTGAACTGTTTCCGATGGTCTCCCACGCTGGGGTCGGCTTCTTCGGGCTGGGGAGGGGGCGTTGGGCCAGCTCCTCACAGGCCGCCTCCCTCCCTCATTCATTCCCAAGGAGATCGTGGGAAGCTTGAAGGAAGCTGGCCACAGTTTGGGGTGAGCTATTTTTGGTAACAGGGTCTTTCGTCTCAGGCTCCAGAGGCCAGGGTGACTGGGAGGGAGCTGTTTGCATTTCCTCTGGCCCCCTTGACTCCCCCGCTGCCTGGGCCCAGGGGACAGGGCCGCCCGTGGTGTGAACTTGGCCTCTCCTCCCCAGGGCCCAGGAAGCCTTCCTGTTGGTGGTTCCAGCACCACGGGAGGGCAAAGAGGGGCACTTCTCTTCCCTCTCCAGGGACTTTCCCCAGAGCTTGGCACCAGGCCCTCTCCCTGGCCCCCTGGCAGCGTCAGGAGGCAGCAATAATTCTAGTAATCCCTTGATTTGCACGGTGCTTTGTGGCAGGTCTGTTCCTCTCACATGTAGTCTCAGTTGATCTTCGGGACAGCCCTGGGAAGTAGGCAGCCCTGGTAACTTGAGCCCCTTGCACAAGTGAGAAAATTGAAGTTCTGAGAGGGCACAGAGGTCCCCAGAGTCCGGGGATGGTGACTGGCAGCTGAGTGCTGCCTCCAGGATACCTGCAAGGCAAGGACACACTGAGTCGCTATAGCAAAGCGGTGGTGAGCAAGGCGGCCCGACAGTCCCCTGAGGAGGAGGGAGACAGCCAGGTAGTTGGGATGGCCTTCTGGGTGCAGTACTACCCTCAGCTGAGGTCCATCCCGTAATGACATGAGGCCTCTCCTGTCTCCAGTTAGCCCTCTGAGGGGCTCTCAGGCTTTGGGGTGGCTCACTTCTGTCTTCTTTCTCCTGCAGAGCATACAGGCCCACGAGAACAGCAAGGATGGCCGGCTGGCATGGACAGGCACCCAGGAGCATCTTGTGTCCACTGGATTCAACCAGGTAGGGCTCCTCTTGGGTGAGCAGAGACTAGCACCAAGAGAGCAGGGATGAGGCCCACTGGGAGGCGGAGGCCACCAGCCAGCTCCAGGCCTGTCCATATACGGCCCTGAGTGTAGCTGGGTCTCAGAGCCCCAGGGGACCAACCGCTGCTGAAAACTGGCAGATTCCATTTGCAATAGCTAAGTCTGACCCTGGGAACTGTGGCGGCCCCCCCAGGGACCAGAGTCCATGGAGGGAACCGCCCCTTGTCCCTTGTCACCTAAGGGTTCTTAAAGGGGCAGGACATGAAAACCCAAACTCTCCCTCCCTTGCATGATTCCCTTCCTCTCCCCGCCACCCCCCACACACTGCCTTTCGAGCTCTGTTCTGGGGCGTGTCCCCATGCCAGGCTGTGTCCTTGGGCACTAGGTTTCCAGGGAGTCCTGGGGGGCTGACAGACGTGCCCCTCTGAGCCTCTGTCTGCCCCCTCCCCACAGATGCGTGAGCGTGAAGTGAAGCTATGGGACACCCGGCACTTCTCCAGCGCCCTCACCTCCCTCACCCTGGATACCTCGCCTGGGTAGGAGGGTAGCATATTGGGATGGGCTGGGGATGGAAGGGTGAGGGCCCAGACGATGTCTCGAGTCCAGAGCTATGAACAGGCACTGCTGCTAAGGATCCCTGATGCGCCCTTGGTGGGCCACATGCCGAATGCGAGGTCCCAAGCCAGCCAGAAGGGCTTCACCCAATTCAGTTCTTGTCTGGGAGGTGGCTCATCACTGGAATGATCGGGGGTGCCTGAGCTGGGCAGACCTGGCCCTGTCTGAGGAGTCACCTGGAGCTTCACCAGCAGGGGGTAGTGAGGCAGCCCTGTGTGGGCAGAGAAGCCCAACTGATCCATTCTTGTGGCCCCTTGGTTGTGGGGCAGGCTTCTGGCCTGAGGGCTCAGGATGGTATATTTTGGCATTTGGGAGGGGACTCTGACCCAGTGGACACATGAGTGGCCAGCGCGAGAACGCACTTGATTTTGCTGTTGGTGTTTTGGTGGGCCTGAGGGCCAAGGAGACCCGAGGGCTACTATAGCACGGTGGACTCAGGGTGGACGTGGGTGATACAGGGTGATGTGGGGACAGATGGGCTGGCAGGTTTGGAGGTACAAGTAGCAGAGGGAGATAGGCCTTGAACTCATGGGCTCTATGAGGCCCCCTCAGCCCTGGTTACACACGTGTCCCTGCTTGTCCTTGGGGGAGGTGGTGCCCAGGCAGCAAGGGGGTGCAAATGTACCTCATCTTTACACTGTCCCTAGAAGTGGTCGTGCCCCTGGAGATCTGAGCCGAGGTGGCTCTGCAAGGAAAGCCCAGGCTCACTATGGCTGAGTCACCAGGAGACCCATAGCGGATGCTGAGGAGCGAGCCATCCCTTCAGTCCACACAACCCCCACATCACAGCTGAGGAAAGAAGCTTGGGAGGGTGGGAGACCAACCTAGCTGGAACGGGAGGAGGCAGGGACCTGGCACCTGTTCTGAAGCCTCAGCCCTGCTCAGCTATGACTCCCAGAGGGGCTTGCTGGGATACCCACTACCACCACCAGCCAGGGGCCTGCAAAGGTCAGAGCAAGGAGAAGGCCTTGGTCCTTGGATATCCTTCCAGCTGCTGCTTTTCTGTTTTACAACGGAGGGAACTGAGTCACGGAGGGCACAGTGACCTGTCCAAGCTCTGAGAACAGCAAGGGCTGTGTCTGGATGTGGGGAAGGGCTGAGCGCTAGAAGAGCTCCCGCTAGGGCATCCCCTGCCTGAGCACCCAGAGAAGGGGTAAAGGTCCGGGTGGCAGTGACCCTCCCTTCCCATCCTTTCTCATAGCCCAGGGAGAGGCTGGGGAGCTGGCAAGTTCCATTTTGCAGATGATGAAGGTGAGGCTAAGTGAGCTCCAGTGCCTTCCTTGGAACCACAAAGTGGGTGTGAGGCTTCTGCTTGCTCTGAGCCCTGGGGATTCAGAGGAGTCACTAGGACCCCCATTGCACTGAAGGAATCAGAGCTCCTGGGCCTCCTGGCTCCATGTCCAGCGCCCCCTCCCCCAGCCCAGATGCTGTGCTGGTATCTTGCCCTCTACGCTTCCACAGCCCCTTCCTTTCAGGGCCCCCCAGCAGAGGGAGGGAGCTGGTCTAGTCTGGAAAAGGAACCCAGCACTGGCCATCAAATGCTCTTTTGCCCTCCACTTCCTGCCTTCTAGGCTCCACCCCTGGCCTTTGATGGGTCCCTCCTTCCCCCCCTGCCCCCGCTCCACAGAACAGCCCTCCCACCCCACCCAGCATGGCCCCTGAAGGAGTTAACGATGCCCAGACCCCATGGTGCCACTGGCCAAGGCTGACCCTGTAATTAGAGCAGTTAAGAATAGCCTCGTAGGGCCAGTGAGGCCTGGAATTTCTCAAATCACTCCCAGATGGGCCAACCAGGCTAGTGTCCCACCCCCTTCATCCCCCAGTCCTGGCCTCTGCCCCACCACTGGGCCCACACTCTTGGCAGAGAGGTGGGGACTCTCCAGCCCTCTACAAAACTGGTGGATGCCAGGGATACATGCCAACCTTCAGGCTGGCCCAAGAGGTGGTGGGCCCCCTGCCCACCAAGCTTCCTGGAAGCCAGAGCCTTCCACTGCCCCCTGCCCCGCCCCCGGGATGTGGGGGCTGTTGAATGAACTGTACTGAAGATGGAAAGTGTACAGGTATCAACCATGGGCATGGCCATGGCCTCCACTGCACCCCCTCAATTTATTTTCTGTTTTACAGATTTTCCATCTCAATTTAGGCAGAACAGTATGTGCTCTTATAAGAGCTAAGGGAGGCCAGGGGTCAGGCACACACTCCTCTCTGGCCTCTCTCAGGGAGAACCCAGGGCCCCCCCCTCCCAGGAGCCTCTGTCTCAGCCCCTACATATGCCCTCTCTGTCATCCCTGTCATGTGCGAAGTGCACCTCACTAAGAGGAGACATGTCATGGTGGGATGAGCAGGCTCAGGAAGCAGGTCCACAAATGACAGCTCTGCACTTCCTGGGTGCAAGGCCCCAAGCCTAGTGGAGGTGGGGGAGGGGCAGTAATGGCAGGGCCCGATGTTGAAGGAGCAGCTCATGCTCTGTCCAGGAGACGTAGAAACACCACCTGTCTCAGGTACATTGCTTCTGGGCTGGGTGGATGGTCAGCTGTATTGGCCCTGGGCTGTAGGCAGGTAGGGATTTTTCTCCCCATATTACCGAAGGCAGCTGAGGCCAGAGAAGTGGGTCCTCTTTTGAGGTCACCCCAGCAGCAAGCCCATGCAGGGTGGAGGCTGGAATTGCATTTGTTTCTTCACACCAAGGTGTCCACCTCTGGACAGACCCCCAACCCAAGGCCTAGCCATTGCCCAGAGGCATAGGTCCTGCACCCAGGGTGTTCCCTGGAGATTGGGAGCCCCCACCCATCCTGGGTAGCTTCTGCTGCTCACAGCTTCCCTACCCCTCTCCTGTGACCCAAACCCTCCCCGCATAACTGGCAACCCCCTCCTAGGCCAGGGAGCAGATATTGGGTGTTGGGACCTGTCCCTGCCTGCTGTCTCACCTCTCCTAGCCTTCTAGTCTCCCTTCAGAGAGGTTTTTGGGCATGAAATGGGAACATGTATAAGCCAGTATGGCACAGGGCCTGTGGCAGCGAGGAGCCAGCGATAGGGGGAGTGGCATTTCCCACATCTGTCTCTGGTCCTGGCCCAGAGCCATTGAGATTGCCCTGAGTAGGGGCTGCATCTTGACTTGGTCCCCTACTAGGCCCCTAACCCTACCTTCATCCCTCAGCCTGTGATCTGATGGGACACCCCAAGTGCCTTTTCTGGGAGGGCTGGAGTGAACATCCAGCCCCTTTCTTTAGGTCCTGCCTCCCTCCCCACCCCCTGCTGGCCCACGAGGCCAGGTTTGGCTTTGCAGCAAAAACATTTATTCAGCAGCCACCGTGTTCAGCAGCAGCCCACAGGCCCACAATGGCCCCTTTGATGGCGCTGCCGAGGGGGAGGGCAGGCCTCGCTGTAACTGCACCCGTAATGGGACCCAGACCCACAGGAAATCCACCTGGGCCACTGCCGCTGCCTCAGGAAGATGGGGCCCCACCCAGGCCCACTGCCACCACCCTCTGCCCTAATAACCCACCACCCCCCCTCCTCCCTTCTCATGCCAGAACCCTCAGCAGCCGCTAATTGAATCCAGAGCCTCGCGTGGCCGGGCCTGACTCGGTGCTGACATCAATGCCCCAAGCCACAGAGCCTGCTCTCCAGGCCTGGCTGGACTGCCTCCTTCCTATAAGAGTGAGACTAGGGGTCAGGGGTCGTGAACCACAAAGAGACACAGGCATGGGGCCTCAGGGAAGCTTGCTCCAGCATCTACAGGGCTAGAGCCCACCTCTACTACCATCCCAAAGGTTCTAGGAGGTTTTCTCTCCCCAAGTTCCCAGCACCATCCCTGGCCCTGCCCCCACCCCCACTTAGGCCTGTGGCTTCCTGGAAAAAGATCCCACTTCCGGAGTTTTGGAAAGCCAGGCATATCCCAACTACAGAGAGTAAAGGGACATCGAAGGGCCACCAGGCCTCCGCAAGCCAGACTCAGACCTCTGGTCCTGTCCCTGGTCCTGTCCCTGTTCCGAAGCCTGCACAGTCCCTCCTTCCCCACCCACCAGAGGGTTTCTGCTATTCAGGACCTATGCTGCCCTTTACTGAGGCCTCTTAATAGCTGGAGCAGGAGCCCATGCAGAGGAGCAGTGGGACTGCAGGGAGGGTAGGGTGAGCTGTGCATAACGCCTAGTCCAGCAGTCCACGAGGGCTGGCAGGTTGCAGCTCAAGGTACCCCCTCCACAGAGGAAGGCAAGCATGGACTGCCTGTCAGACCCATCCCTGACGAGGGACCCTTGTGGACCCTCTTGACTCTCATCTTCCATGAGCCTCCCACAAGAGCACCACCGCTCCTGCTGGCAGGAGACTGGGCCTGAGTAAGGTAAAGCTGCCCTAACTGTCCTTCCTTAAGGTTGGAAGCTGCTCAGACTGTCCCCGCTCTTGCCTGGGCACTGGAAGGGTAGACTGGGCACCTCAGTGGAGGCTAGGGGGACACAGCCCAGGTCAGGTTTCCTGAGAAGGCTACCCTTCCCGCCATGGCCCTCGGCAGAAGCCCACCCAAGCCCAGGGGATGCTGGCCAGGGCCTGGCTGCCCGCGGGGAGAAGAGTCCTGATCTTCAGCTTCCCCACAGAGAGGGCTGTCCCTTTATGGCTACCCTGCACCCCAACCCTCCCTCCCCCAGTGCAGGTACCCTGGAGCCAAGCCAGAAAAGCACTCATTTTATTTCATCTTTTATTTTTCTTACAAAAGGCCTTCATATCATCGTTTGTCTTACAAAACCAAAGTCCTTATCTCTGAGTTTGAAAAACATTTTCCCAGAATAAATGGGAAAGAATCTCTTATAAATATATATTTTTAAAAAACAAAAGCAAAACTTGTTCCTAAAGCATCTTTCTTTCCAGTTTCTTTTGTTGCTTCACTCCCTGGGGCCAAGGCTGGGCCATACACCCATCCCCACCCCGGCTCTCACTCTGCTTTCTTTCTGGGGATCCTTTCACTGGCCCCCAGAGTCTCCTTGGGGTGAGGGCCTGGCAGCCCCGGGCCTGTGTTACCAGCACACAGCAGAGCCCACTCCACCCCAGAGGTTGTACGTTGCAGAGGATGGGGCAGACACCATCCTCAGAGGCACTTGGGCTCAGGGGACCTTAGAGGTCTTCACCTGGGTCCCTGCATCTTAGATGAGGAGGCTGAGGTCCAGAGAGGGGCAGGCACTTGCTGTAGTCACACAGCCCCTGCCCTGACATGTCCTCGTCATATGGATCCGAGAACTACTTAGTCTGGTAGCAAGAAGGCGCTGGCTAGTCCCAGCAAGGCTGAGAGCCCAGCTTGGCAGTCCATCACTCCCAACTTAGATGTAAGGCTTATCAGGGAGGGGTCCCTGGGGGCCAGGCCCTGGGTAGCCCATGAGTGGCACCTCACACTCGGGCCCACCAGGTGGGGACTCCCCACCGCCCTCAGTCACCTTGGGGCCTGGCTCTAAGGGGGCCTTCACCCCCTCCAGCTCCAGGGGCCCAGCCCCAGGCCCCACCTGCCCTTTGCCCTGAGCTGCAGCCGCTGCAGCCCGCCCCCGCCGCACACAGTAGGCTGCCCCCACAGCGGCCAGCGCAGCCAGAAGCACAGCAGCCAGGGTGGGTGCAATGAGGAGTGGCAGGTTGCCCTCTTGGGCCTGCGTGACTGGGGCGTGATTGGAGCGGACAGCTGGGAGCGTGCGGGCCTCCCCACAAGCCTCCTCGCCCTCGAGCACTCGCCCAGCTCTCAGGGGCCTGACACAGATGGAGTAGGTGGCATTGGGCTGCAGCTGGGTGACAGTGTACTCAGCCAGTGAGGCAGGCAGCCGCAGTGTCACTGGCCGCTTGTCGGGGCCTGACAGGTTGCGGTAGGTGAGGCGGAGGCTCCTGAGCTGCACGGTGCTGCCCTGCAGATAGCGCTGCAGCCCCACCCTCAGGGACGTGGGGCTCACTGGCTCGATGCGGAGGGGCAGGGGCCCTGGCGGCCTCAGTGTAGCCAGGGCAGGGGTGGGCCGTGGCCCCAGCCTCACCGGGCTCTCACAGTACAGGCCCATGAAGGCTTCTGGGCACAGGCACTCTCGGTGACCCCGAGCCCCCAGGTGACAGGTGCCCCCGTTGAGGCAGATGGATGCTGGGCAGTCCTGGGGCCGGGGGTCAGGCCTCACAGTGGGCATGGCAGCAGGTGGCAGGCTGGGGGCTTCGGCAGCAGGCTCTGTGGGGTTCGGCCATGTGGGGGCTGGGCTGGAAAGTGAGGTGGTGGGCTCCCACACCAAGGGTCTCGTGGTGGGCACCGTGGCTGTGGTGGTGGTAGCTGGGCAGCCGAAGTCGGCATAGTCAAGGTCCAAGAGTAGCTGACCAGCATTCTTGGGTGGGAAGTGGCAGCGTGTCTCCTCGGGGCTGGCCAGCACCACACGGCTCTCCCGAACCCAAGGGCCAAACCAGCTCAGGGGGCACACACAGTTGAAGGGGTTTCGGGCAGCCGCCAGGAGCCGCAGGCGGGGGAAGAGACCTGACAGCTCATGTGGCAGGGCCTGCAGGCTAAGGTTGCTCAGGTCCAGCTCCTGCAGGGCTGCTAGGCCGGCCAGGTCCTTGGGCCGCAGCTGGGCGATACGGGTGTTGCCAGCCAGCCGAAGGCGTGTCAGGCCCCGTAGGCCCTGGATGGCAGGTGGCACGCGCTCCAGCTGGTTATCGGACACGTCCAGGTCATGGAGGTTGCGCAGGCGGCCAAAGAGCCCCTCGTCCAGCTGCCGAAGCCCCAGGCCGGCCAGCCGCAGTGCCTCTACATTGGCGGTGTCCAGGGCACCAGGCTCCAGAGCCAGGAGACTGTTGTGGCTGAGGTCCAGCAGCAACAGACGAGGCAGGTGCAGTGGGGGCAGAGCCCGCAGCTCGTTGTCCTGCAGCTTGAGCTCCAGGAGGTGGTCAAGTGCGTCAAAAGCGCCAGGCTGGATGTGGTGGATGCGGTTCTTGCCCAGGTAGAGACGTTCCAGGCGCCGCAGGCCACGGAAGGTCTCGTTGGTGATCTCACGCAGCCTGTTGGCGGTCAGGTCCAGGTTGCTGAGGTTGGCTAGTGGCTGGAAGACCCCACTGGGCAGGCTGGTGATCTGGTTCTGTGACAGGTCCAGGAGCTGCAGGCCCGGCAGGCTGGCAAAAGTACCTGCGTCGAGTGTGGTAATGCCGTTCTCAAAGACGTACAGGCCCGCCGTGTCGGGTGGCACGTCACTGGGCACCGTGGTCCCCTGGCGGGCAGTGCAAAAGACTGTCTGTGGCTGGTTGCACTGGCAGCCGGATGGGCAACCCTGCACCCCAGGCCCCAGGGCCAGCAATAGCAGCAGCAGCGGCAACGGGGGTGGGGTGACTCTGGAGCACATCTTTTGGTCCCTGGGAGCAGAGAGCAAAGACAGGAGGCAGTGAGTCAGGGGCCCAGGAGACAGCCGTGCCTGGAAGGACTGAGAAGGGAATTCCCAGTCCCCTTCCCCACTCCCCGCCCCCAAATACAACAGCGCACAGTAGTTATGAGTCAGGTCTCCAGTGCCCCAGCCTGGTTCCTGTCCCAAACCCATCACTCCCTTGCTATGTGACTGAGCAGTCACATGACCTCGTTATGGTATCAGTTGATACTTCCTGCACCGTCACTGGGGTGCAGGGGGCTGATGCATGCAGAGGGGGTCTGGCCCCAAAACACTCAGTGACCACAAAGGACACCTTCTCTTTAACCCCAGCCCTCCTGCCTTTCTGGCTCAGAGAGAACATGCAGTCAGAACCATCAGGCTCTGTTCTCTTCTCCCAAGCCCCCTCCCCAAATCTCTGCCGAGGTAGACAGGGAAGCAGCAGCCCCTCCCCACAGTGTCTGGGAGACTGGTGGGCAGTGGGCCGAGAGCGTAAGCAGAGAAGCTGGCTGCCCCGGGCCACCGGCCCCTGCCGCTACGCTCTATGTCCTCCAAGGGAGGAGAGACCGCAGTGGGAAGACTTCACATGGAAACTATGGGATTGGTGTTTTTCCACTTGTGCAGTCAGACCTGCCCAGGACGCGAACTTTCCTGCTGGCCAGAATGTGGCCAGCAGGAAAGTTCTTAGGGGAGGGAGCAGAGGGGTGCTGGAGCCACTGGCAGGTGTCCCTCTGTGGGGGGATGTAAGGAGGGAATGCTGGTCTTTATTTGCCCTGCCTCAGGCACAATGATAGAACTAGAGGTGAGGGGGTCCCAGCTTCCCTGGGCTGACTCAGGGCTTAAGCCTGGGGACACTGGTTACCTGGTAGCCCCAGAGGTAGTGCCAGGCCTGGAAATGCTCCCCAGATTCTTTCATCTACCTTGGGTTCTATTCTGGTCCAGGCACTGAGGAAGCAGAACCTCAGCCATTCCCAGTGTGCCAGTGCCACTGAACATTCACAGCCACCTCTCATAGTCTCCCCAGCAGCCATTCCAGGTGGAAACTAGTCTCATGATTCCCAGATGACAGAAGAAAGGGGGCTCCCTGAGGTGCAGTGATGTGCTGCTGTTGCACAGCTGGGAAATCTAACTAGAGCCCAGGTCCTTACGCAGGTCCGGGGCCGCTGGGCCTGCTGCATGTGTTGAGCCTGTCCCCTGATGCAGGAGCCCAGTCCTACCAGGGTGAGGGTGGCTCCCCTGGCTGCTCCAGGCTCTAGCTTATAGCTGGACCCAGCTAGGACAGGATGGGGCCACAGTGTGGGCCCCCCTTCACTCAGGCTCCTTGGGGGAAACTCGGGCCACCCCCAACAGCAGTCCCCATGCTCTGGGCCCCTACAGTCCTGGAGAGCCAGCACCCCTTCCTTCCAGGGGCATCCTGCTTACACAAGGGCCTTTTGTACTGGGGCTTAGACTCCCCTTCCCCCATGCCAGCCGGCTGTCAAGCCACAGGCAGGTAACATGGCCCTCCACGCAAGGTTCGTTCTGCCCTGCTGCCATCCATGGGGCTGCCCCTTCCCCAGAGAAGTGGGCTGCTGGAATGCAAGGTGGAAGAGGGGCAGGTGGTCCCAGAATGGATTAGACAAGTCACTGAGGAGGCCACTGTGGTCTTGGGCCCGTTCTAGGTAAAGGCCTGTCACCCAGTTTGGGCCCACCTATGTCCTGCCCACCGGCAGGGTCCCCTCTGCCCCTTACTAATTCTGGCGATTGCTTTTCAGAGGCTAGCCAGGGAGGCCTTCCCTAACTCCCAGCTGGTGCCCCCTCCCCTGCTCTCTAGGGTCCTGGCTGCCTCGTGTACCTCTGGCCCTGTGTGCCTTTAGCCCTGCTGGAGCTGTCGCAAGGGGGCTCCATGCACCCCACCCAGCCTCCTCCCCTGCATGGACCTGCTCCACCCTTGCTGACTCAGAAGGCAGTAGGTGCGGCCTGGCCTCCAGATGTAGGCTGTGAGTGCCCCCCACCCCTTTGTCCACGTGGGGGGTGAGCCACCTCCCCCTGAATCAGCCCTCCTAATGGAGCAGGCAGGGAGGGGGTGGGGGGGCAGTCAGGAAGGGAGCAGCTAGGCTCAGGGCAGGAGGGGACCCTACACGTGGCCTGCTTAGCCACCCCTGTGACTTCAGCTCCCTCTGGGCCTCATATAAGGTCATGGTTAAGAGCTCACGTTCCAGTCAGACAGCCCTGGGCCAAGGGCATCAGAGCTGTGAGGTACAGACAAAGGCTTTCTCTCAGCACCTAGGCTTCTTCCTCCGTCCCCGCTAGGTGGATCACAGAGTCGACACCTCCCAAGACTGCTGGGGGGCGCTCCCTGCTCTGCATTGAGGAGAGGGGCAAGCATGGGTTCTGGGCTTTGCTCCCTGGTCTGTTGGCCCTTTAATTAGCAAAGTCATCATACAGGAGGAGGCAGCAACTGCTGTGGGTCTGTCTGGCCCCAGAGTGGCAATCTGACTGAGTTGTTGGGGAGCGGGGGCTGCATCAGAAAAAGAGCAACTGGAATCCTCCTGCTCTCGGGAGACCCCGGCAGACAGCAGCTAACCTGCTTCCCACCCTCTAGGAGGCAGGGGTGAGCGCCTTGGCCTGAGCCCCAGTCCTCTGCCCAGCAAGGAGACAGAGCCCAAGTTCTACCCCTAAACAGCTTCCCACCCATGGGCCTCAGTTTCTCAGCAGCCCCACCTCACCCTCTGGAATTGTTCTGAGCACCCAGGGTTGTAGTTTTTGTATTCTGTTTGTTTGCAAATGGGGAAGTTCTAACAAGTTCTTGGAGCTATTCTGCCTGTCTGGTTGCATGCTCGTATGTGTGTGTGCATTGGGGGTGGGGTGTCTCTTGGTGGGGGCGGTTGTCACGGCTGCCCTGACCCAGGCAGTTGCAATTTCAGCAGCTCTGAAGGACCAGAGCCTGGGCTTTGATATCTGATCCACTGACCCAAGGCAGGGAGGTAAGACCTTTACCTCTGCGGAGGATGTGGGGAGTTCTGGAGGCAGCCCTGGCATTTGTAGGGGTGGGAGCACGAGGGTCCAGGGCCCATGTCCTCCACCCAGACTCAACATAGCCTCACCTTGGCCTGGGCCCTGCCCTGGTGTGAAAGGAAGAGGTGGGAGGCAGAGGCCCGGGCTCTGCTGCTGGCCTCACTGCCCTCCAACAGACAGTTGCTGGGATGGGGCTTTAGGGTCCAACTGCCTGCATTTGCAGCCTGGCTCCATGCCAGGCTGGCCATGGGCCTTCACCTCAGTTCCCATCTGTGAAGTGGGGGTGCTGATAATAGCGCTTGATTCTCAGGACTGTTTAGTTTGTGCTTGGAGCGTATTCTAAGTGGTCAGTCAACATTCACTACTGAGTGCTACCCAGAAAACCCGAGCCCTGCCTTCCATACGCACGGGGAGAACACCACGGTGTGAGAGGGGCTTCGAGTCCCTTTCAGCACAGATAGTAGGCATCCTGGGCCCAGGGTGAGACCTCCATGCAGAGGCTGCCCCCCACCCTCCACCCTTAGGTGTGGGCATGGGGAGCAGCCTGATGGCAGGTGCTTTCAGTTTTGGAGGGGGATGGGGGAGCTGAGCTGTCTTTTGGCCAGCCCCCTTCAGCATATGACCTTGGGTGGGGAGAGAGCAGAGGGAGGGCTCTATGAGTAAGGATATCCATCATCTCAACTCTCCGGGGGATCCAGAGTGCCCCCACCCACACCCAAGTGTGGGACACATTTAGAGGCACCCTCTCACATACAGGCCCTGGGTCAGGCAGGGGCTGGTGAGTGGGTAGAACTCGGACATTTGGGTGACCACATCAGACCTGGGGCTGGAGCATCTCACTGTTCCTGGGGAAGGCCACGTGCCTGCCAGCAGGGGATGGGTTCAGACAGACAGGTCAGCATACTCTTCTCCTGTACCCAGTGCTGCAGAGTGAGTGCAGGAGTCAGGTACTACAGGCCTGCCCCCAGGACCCTGGGCCTCTGGCTCCCAGTGCTGGCGTGCCTGGGCTAAGCACTGCCGGCCAGGCCTGGCAGCAACCCAGCTCAGGAGTCTGCCAACCCCCCAGGCAGGCGGGACCATGCCGGCGGCCAAGACAGCTGGCTCTGGTTTCGCTGACGTGTCTGAGGAGGCTCAAGGCCTGGGCCGGGTCCGCCCGTCTCCTCATCCCTGAGACATAGCAACCCCTGGCCCAGTAGGGCAGAAAGGTTGATATCTCCCTCCTGGGCCCTCAGGGAAGGGGCCGAGAGGACAGAGCCTCTGGTTCCTCAGAGATGGCCCTCTCTCCGGGTGGGGGCCAGAGCTCTGTGATTAAGCTGGCGTCCTCACCGCTCTTGGTGTCTGCCTTACTTTATCCACCACCCCGGCCGGCTCTGCTCATCCTACAGATAAGGCTGACACTTCGTTCATGACCTTATCCAATTTCCTTCCCTTTCCGGGTTTCCATCTCCCACCTGGAACCCCAGGGGCTTTTCATCCCCAGCTATACATCAGAATCACCCCAGCAGCTTTGGAAAGTTCCTGATGCCTGGGTCCCACCCCTGGGCCAACTAAATAAGAATGTCTGGGGTAGGGCCAGGCAGAGCTGTATTTTGGAGAAGCAACTTGGGTGAGTCTCCTGTCTAGCCAGGGCTCAGTTGCAAAGGGGACATTCTAGACTTCAGCTTGTCTCCCAGTCCAGGGAAGATCCCTGAGCAGGTGTGGCTGGCTGTCAGCACTGAGAGAAGAGCGGGACCTAGGCCCTCCTCCCTCCTCCCCGACTCCTCCATCCAGGAGCTGTCAGGCCCTAAGTGGAGACTTTCTGTGGCACCGTGGGTGAGTTGGCAGCTGCCAGGCCTGTCAGCCCAGGGCAGGAAGACCAGTAACTAAAGCCAGTTCGAGGCTCAAGTGGGCCCTCAGGGCAGCAGGATGTGCCATCTCAGTCAGGAGAGGTGCCTCTGTTGGGAGAGGACACCTGCTGGCCTGGGAGCTGTGTGGTGGCTACCGCCCAACTAGAAATGTGCCAGACCAGATGCCACTGCTGGCACGCGCAGGTGTGATGCCACCAGGGCTGGGCTCAGACGTGGGGCCTCCTCACTGCCCTGTCCCCACCCAGTGCCAAGCACCCAACAAGTAAGGTCGTAACCCTGAAATTAACCCTGAATTTGCCAGAGGAAGGCCTTAGTCACCAAGGGAGGCCACCAGCCCCATGCCAGCTGGGCCCAGGCTGTCTGGGGCCTAGGGTCTGAGAAGGAGGTGGCCCTCAAGGTCTTGCCCTTCTCATATTCACTATGCCCAGAGATCTTGGTCACCTTGTGGCAGAAGTGGCCCTTTCTGGGTCTGTGAACTGACCAGTAGGCAGGTGGGATTGATTCGATGTAAGGAGCCATGACCCTGCCCCCTCTCCGCTCCTCTCTTTCTTCTCATTCTGCCTATCCAGGAGTGGGGGCTCAGGCCCCAGTGACAGCCCCAGCCTCTTCTCAATGCAAGCCAGCTCTTTCCTCCCTCCTTAATTAAATCTCTCAGGCAGCCTCAGAGGAATGTCAGAGCCTTATTGCATTTCCCTTGAGGAGACTGGTGGGGGGGCCTTCCACAACCATGGAGAAGAACTGGCCCCTCGCCTTCCCCCACCCCCCTAAACCCGAGGTGGTCTGGGGGAGCCTTCTCCAACCTCCTCATACCCAGGGAGGCTGGAATGAGGAAAAGCGGGGGAGGCCTGCAGGCCTGGCCGGCCTGGCGGCCCAGCCAGCTGAGGGAAAGCAATCTGGCTGACTCTGGAATGTTGAAACCGATAAAACCAAAGCACCCCTGCCCGCCCCCAAACACAGCCCTGCTCCAGTCACGCGCACACAGACACACACCCACGCCAGACACACGCCCAGTGGGCCGTGCTCTCTCTCTCACACCCTCCCCCTCCTCCAAGAACTCTTGCAAATTCCACAGCAGTGAGGGGAGCTGGTTTTCTTGGCAGTGCAGAGCCTTGGGCTCCCCAGCCCAGGGAAGGGACTCTAAGGAGAGCTGAGGGAGGCTATAGGAGGGGGTCACTAACCCATTTAGGTGGCATTGCTGCCTATGAGCTCAGGGCCTGCCAATAGTCAGGGATGCTTCTGTGGGCAGAGGCTCAACCTAGCCTTCTCCCTGGTCACCAAAGAAAACTGTCTAGCTGGCCTGCCAAGGTGGGAGCTGCCTCCTGGGCCCAGCTGGGACCCCACTTTCCTGTCCCCAGGAGCTGCCCAGCCCAGGGGTGGGGTCCACTTACAAGCCCCCATGAGGACTCCACTCTACCTGAGACTTGACCCAGCTCCCCTAGGGCTGTAGTGGGGGTGTCAGGAATGGGAGCCAGAAACTGGATCCATGTCCTGCCCAGGGCATCCCTGGCCCTGAGGCTGCTTGCCAGAGGGGCCTTCCTGGGGAAAGCACAGGTCTGGGGGGCTTCTCGTGTTGAACCCCCTCCCCCATTCCCAGAGTCTGGAGAGTGGTGCCATCCCAGCAAATGCCCTGGGACACCAGGCTCCACTGGCCCCATCTGACTTTGTGGACTCACAGGTCCCAGGGCAGCCACATAAAGCCAGGGAGGTGGGGACTGGCTGTGCCCAGGCCCCCAGCCTGGCACGAGCTCATCCCTCCCTGGGCCCAGGAGAGGCCAGATAATGGTCTGGAGGGAATCCAGCTGGGCTGCTCATTACCAGAGCCCTCTTCCTGCCTCTGACACTCTGTTTACAGAAGCTCCGGGGCCTGATTCCCCTGGGAGAAGACAGCAAACTCAGGGGACTGCTCTCCCATCCCCCCACCCGCTTGCTTTAGCCCTTTTGGGCCTTGCCACCAGCTGGGTCCATACTGGACTTCACTGCCCGCTGGGCCGGCTTTAATGGACCCTGCTTGGAGGGCACCCACCCAGCCACTCTCTCTATGCCCTCAACACCCAAAAGTTCAGCCTAGTGAGAAGGGACCTTTGAGAGTCAGTCCAGTCTCCCAGCCCCCAGAAGCTCTTGGCCCGGGGTTGGAGGGCACTGGGCTCTGGTGCCCCTCTCCAGAGCCTCACCTGCCCTTGGTACAAAAGGCAATCAGGGGGACACTTGGACCCTCAGAGCCTCCTCCTCCTTCCTACCTTGCAAACTCCACCCCTGGGCCCCAGCAAGAGAGGCGGTCAGCGACCCTGATGTGGTAATCGTTAACGAATGAGGTCGAGGCAGAATGGTTGGCACTAATCTGCTGGCCTGCCAGTGACCGCAGGGGACCTCCGCAGCCCTCAGGCCGGAGCACTGCCAGCCCTGGGACACAAAGGACTAGGTTGGCCCCAGGCCACTGGGTTACAGCCCAAGCAAAGCCTCTTCCCTGGCAGAAAGAGATGAAGCACCCCAATACCTGGAGCACGAAAGGCCCTACCCAGGCGAGGTCTATCGTCTGGGGGCGTTGCGGGGGAATGACCTGCCAGTCACCCCCTAACCACTCCTCAAGGCTGCATGTCTATGGCCCCCGGGGCTCTGCCCTGAGTGACAGGGCCCTCAGGACCCCAGGCGGGCCAATCTGCACGGGGGCACCGGGAGCTCCAGGCCCCAAAACCAGACTGTCTCACTCCAGGAGGTAAAAGTAATCCAAGACTATGGCGTGGCCATCCTCTCAAAGGGGTTTGATTCATAAAACTGGTCATGCCGGAGGGCCCAGCCATAGGAGGAGGAAGCAAGGGAGGGGGTGTTTATTTTGACTGCTTGCAGCCCCGCCGGCCGGCTGGCCAGTGAGCAGTGTACACACGCCCGCGCGCGCACCCCGGCCATGGGGCTGCTGGCGCCCGGGAACTGCCGAGGAGGGAGCGAGTCGGGGACGCCGGGGTCGGCCCAGGTGAAGGTGCGGGGTTGGGGGCGCGTGCCCGCCTTGAGTGCGAGTGCGCGCGGCGGGGGTCCGCGCGCGTGATCAGCGCGTGTGCATAACCTGCTCTCGTTGCGCCCAGATGCCCGTCTGCAGCCCCCCAGCCCGGCAGACACTCACCGGACAGAGGTGGAGGGAGCCGGGCGGGGCGGATCCTGTTTCATTTAATTTTCTGTGGATTACTTCTAGTGTATTTTTTAGTTCAGTTATTGTATTCTTTATTTCCGACTGGTTCTTTTTTATGGATTCTAAGTCCTTTTTAATGCTTACTATCTCTTTGTCGAAGTTGAAATGAACAAATTGTAAACAGTACCAATCAATGAGTAATGACAAATGTATACATACATCTGTGTAATCCAAACGCCAGCAAGATATACAACATTACCATTACTCCCTCCTCCAGTTTCCTCATTCTTCTTCCTATTTAGTCCCCACCTCCC